AGAACATTCCTTGTGAGTAGACTAACAACTTTCTGCTCTATGATTTTAGTTTGGATGGGTGTGAGTAGACTACCAAAATCTAGTAGGGCCCAATATTTTTGTTCATCTGCTGTTAGGGTACAGAAGATGCTGAAAGCATGACCCCAAACTCAAGTAGCATGCAAACAACAAAAGCTGGTCATTCTGCAGACAGCCAGCACGCGGGGATCACCATCCAGGCAGAATGCTGACCCTAGACAAAGGCGCACAGGCCTTTTCACAGGAAACTAGGGGAATTCTAGCAAGGGTTAGGTACGCTAAAACCTCACTGGTGGGTGCTGAGGAAGCTGCAAGGGTCAGTTCCTCACTGGCTTGCGTCTAGCTGGTCAGAGGGCTGCATTCCTGTGCCAAGAATGTTTTACTACAGGTTGAGGTACTGCATTCCTGTGCCATGGATGTTTAACTATCAAATGGGATAAGGCTGCCCAGCACGGGTGCTCCATCCTGAGATAAGATAGCTTCCCGTTCTTGTGGTTATCTTCAAGCTATCTCTTGGGGGAGGGGATTTTATGGTCTTGTTCTCGGAATTGGTGACCTATGGCCTAATTCCTGGGACTGATGACTTTGGAGTGGGGTCGGGTCAGGTCTGGTCCTCTCACTGTAACTGGACTTAAGCAAGCTCAAGGCATTTTCATTGTGAAACTGGACTATTATTATTATTATATTTTGATTTCTACAAATACCACTCCTGCAGGCAGAAGAGCTGGTCCTGCCCCTTGCCTGGGAGAGCCGACCCTGGTGGAATGGGCACAGGACAGCAAGCAGGCTGACCAACTCAGCTACCATTCAGGCCCAGATCCAAGGCTTTGAGTTGGCGCACCCCAACATCTACCCTAACTATGAACTGCTGGAGCACGGGAAGGGCCCAGTCCTGCAGAACCAAAGCTGCAGGCTCTCCATGACAGGGCAACAATAAGATATCTGAGAGGAGGCCCAGTAAGGAGCTAGTATTGATGGAATAGTAAAAACCAGAGATCTGATAGACTAAGATCAGAAGGAAGGAGAGGGGGACCTCCCCTATCAGTGGACTTGGAGAGGGGCATGCATGAAGAAGGGGGAGGGAAGGTGGAATTGGGAGGGGAATTGGGAGGGGTTTATGGGGGGATACAAAGTGAATAAAGTGTAATTAATAAAAGTCAAAAAAACTGTAAAAAAAGATGAAGAAACAGCTTTCTTTTGTCTGATGAAGGTAAGTTTAAATCAGTCTGTGCATAAGTGATCAAAAATAAATGATGAAAGCTTGAGTTTGGAAAATTTTTGTCAATATCAAGTAGACATGAACAATGTCAATGGTGACAACAGTTCAACAGTTCAAGGCTAGATTCTTTCTGCCACAATAAACATGTTCACTTAAAAAAAAGATGTTTGTTTTTGTTGTTGTTTTATTTTGGAGGGGAGGTTGCTTGGGTGGAGGGCAGAAATGGAGGGATAGGGAGATGAGTGGGCATGAGCTGCATGATGTGAAATTCATGAAGAATCCATAAAACCTAAAAACAAAACAAAACAAAACAAACAAACAAAAAAAACCACAGGAGAGCAGGGGGCAGGCCTTGGACCTGGAATCTGTGAAACTAAATGTACTTGAATATGATCCATCCCACCCTAAGAACAGGATGAAAAAGCTAAAGTACAAAAATTGGATTGACACGCACCTTTAATCCCAAGCACTCAGGGAGGCAGAGGCAGGTGGATGACTGCAAGTGTGAGTTCAAGGCCAACAAGGTCTACAAGGTGCAACAAGGACAGCCAAGGCCACACAGAGAAATCCTGTCTCAAAAAGCCAAAAGAAACAAAAATTGGATTGGGTCAAAATGCAAAACTGCTCAGCAAAGCAAGTGAACTTCGCCTTACCCATACACATCTTCTAGAAGCCCTTTTCCTGACCATCCACTTGTATGAAACACATGTCCTCATAGGACCTGCCTGGTTCAAGCAACCAGCACTCCTTTAGAATGTGGCAGTCACTTCTCCTTAAGTACAGTCTGAGTATGGAATGTCCCAACCAGACTCATGGTTAAAGTCTTGGTCCTCAGCTGATGGTGCTACCTGGGTATGATGGACCGTGCAGGAGGTAGAGCCTGGTAGAAGATAGGAAATTGGAGCTGTGCATGTGAAATGGTTAATGGGATATTAGCAAGTTCCCTGGCTTCTTTCTCCCTTACTTCCCAGCTGCCATGAGATGAACAGGCCTCCTTCAGCATGAAGTTACCCCATGATATACACTGTCACTGTAGGCCAATAGGAATAGAACCAAATAGTGTGAGCTCAAGCCAGGATTCATACTAAACCTTTCCTTTTTGTGAATTGTTTTTTTCAGGTATTTTGTCACAGTGATGGAAAGCTAACAAATACACCGTTCCCTTCACAGCCCTAGGATCTGCCCTGTCCTGTTCTAAACAGGGCTATCACAGAATCCTGTTAAAGTGAAAATCTACACAGCTTTGTTTTTCTCAAAGACTCTGCATTCTTGCTTTACCCGAAAGACCTCTTGTTTGGCACCCTGCCATTCTCTGCTCTCTAAGTCACCACCTCTTTCTGTGGGTGACATGACATCAAACACAGGTTCCCAAATGACTTTCTGGGCTAAGCAATCTGTTTTTGCCTCTGAGCTAATGCACACTCTCTCTCTGCCTTGGACACTCTTCTCTAGAAAATGCACCAGATCTCCTTTCCCATTGCTTTGAGGGTATTGAAACATCATCATTCATGGTTTCATCATGCTTTCAGACTCAGAGCCTGTCCCAAGAGTCACCAGCTCCTCTCCTTCATGATTTTTCTGAACATCCGTCATTCTCTGATTTGTTCTAGTTAATCTTTCATTTCTTTTCATTCAAGTTATGATCACTAGAGTGACAGATTCTTCCTGACAGAGACAGGGACGCATTTCCAGCCCTACAAAAATGCTAGTCCCTGGTAGGAGCTCAGTGTTAGTCACCAATATGGTCCATGCATGCTGGATGTCGTCACTCCTACACACAGCCCTGTGTGCATCTCATCACACACAGTGACAGACAGGCTGAGCCTGAGGAAGGATAGGATGAGGACAGACCAAAAAGGGGGTGGAAAGGTATTTAGCAGCATCCATCACAAGCACAGTCTCTGGTTCAGGAGGGTGGGGCAGGCAGTGTGACAGGATCATCATGCAGGGTGAGAGGGCTCAGGGTTTAGACACCATGAGGCCCTCCGTACAGGCTGTCATGCTTTTCAGTCTCTATCCATAGTGAGAATACAAAGTGGTCAGACTGTGGAGGAAGGGGGTGATGGTTGCATCTGCAAGTACTTTCTGGGGGCCAGTGCTAGGAAGAGATGGAGGTATTGTGGGGTATCTATCAGAGAAGACTGTTTGGACATGGGTTTAAGCCAATAGAAAACCTTTATTAGTTGACTGGGTGTTTGGGATCCCAGTGTTATCACTGAACCTTTCTTAGGGTGAGCTTTTACAAGAACAGTTAACTAAAACAGTTAGCTAGAAGCGGAACTACAGAAGCCAAAAAGCAAGGTTAGTACCTTTAGAGACTTTCCCAGAACTATGGCCTTTGATGGATTAGGTTTTCATTTTGGCAGGTGGTACTTACGATGTGCTGAGTTTTATGGCCTGAATGGTACTCCCATCATGGAGTCATTTGTGGTAAGGTTTGGAGGACTACCAAGGTTTGAGGCCCTGTTGTATTCCCCACTGGTCTTAGTAAATGAGTCAATCATGGACTCATCCTGTTTCAGTTTGAAATGCAGGGCCCAATATTAATCCAATTAGAATGAGAATTAAAGACCAAGGCAGTGCTGATAGCAGAGTACCTAGCCAGGGGACCAAGAGAACAGACACTGGTGTCAACTATTTGATTTTTGTCTTTCTCTCTTCTTTTTTCAGTTTTTTCTTCTTTTTTTTATTGCTTTCTTTCAAGAAAGGGGTTTTCTGTGTAGCCCTGGCTGTCCTAGAACTCATTCTGTAGAACAGACTGTCCCCAAACTCACTTTGTAGACCAGACTGTCCTCAAACTCACAGAGGTCTGCCTGCTTGTGGCTCCTGAGTTTTTTTTTTTTTCCAACCATGATAAGATTTTTTTTTCTAATTACTCCTGAATAATTAGCATAGAAACAACAGGTTTCTTTCAAAGTCACACATAGTTTTCTTTATCTCATGAGAAGTCCAAACTTCTCCAATTTTGTAGGACATTTCTGCAAGGAAACCTACCTATTGTTTTAATTCAGAAACAGAAACTTAATTCCTCTACATCCTAATCAATCTGTCTATTTAGTTTGGAAAGCAGCAAAAGAGGCCTTTTTAATCAAACCATTAGTACATGCCCTCCAAGTGGTTTCAGTAATATTATTGTTGTCCACATGAGTAAACCCACAAGGCAGAATAGCAGGAATCAGAATAAGGGGAAGTGTGTGGATTAAAAGTTTTGTATATTAGACAAGTTTTAGTTTCTTGGGAGTCCTGTCATGCTGATTTGGACCACCCCCAGTCACAGTGAGTTTTGTCAGTCAATGACTGAAAGTATGGTTTGTTCATATTCCTATGTAGTATGGGGGCTGGGTGTCTAAGCATAACCGGCAATCCTGGCTGATTTCTGGCTGGGAATGATTGACTCTATGTCCAGGGTCCCTTCCTGTGGCATAGAGTCTGATTCCCCAGGTTTTCTAAAAGTGAGAATCTTCTAAAAAGAAAATTTCAGCCTAACAACCCCTAATTTTTTCAGTGGCAAGTCTCTTGTTTCTGGCAACAAGAAGGCCCAGCTGCAGGGCATGCATAGGATTGTAAACTCTGTATTTCTATCTCAAAAGATAAACTCCCATATCTTTGCTTTTTTCGTACTACCAAACACTTAAAGTGGGCATTAGTGAGCAAAGCTCAAGATGAATATGAGTTGCTGGTCTTTAGTCACACTAGCTAATATCTTTCTTTTATCTGTCTTTCTCAATTCCTAGTTCCAAGTCTGAGGGCTGTGGGGTGGAACCATAACCCTATATTCATACCCTTAGAACAAAACATAAGACACAAAAGGAGGTAGAGGGTCAGGGAGTGGAAGGGCCTGGAGCCAGATAAACCTTAATTTTAATGGGTCCATAGTCTGGAGACAGTCCATTTGGCATCATCATCCATGGCTTCCACTTTCTTGACCGGGGTGTGGTAGATCCATGATGTAATGCCAGCTATCTTCACAGCCATAAGAATGGAGATAATCACCTTGTAGCATCTTTTCCAAGTTGGTTTCAGTGCCCTTTGGCTAGTGCCTGACCCAGAGAGTACCAGCAGACTCAAACAAATGGGAAACTGGTAGTGGATTCAGAGGTCAGCTGGCTCTCTTGGGTAGTCCAACGAATAGACTTTATGGAGGACTGAAGTGTCTGTAGTGATTTGAGAAAGAAATAGTTAGAGAGTTCTGCTAACTGCTAGTCTTTGAGCTTGGGAAGCAGTCGGGGAGATCTTCCAAACATAATTTGATAGGGGGTAAGTCCTCCCTATATGGGGTGCAGCAGGCCTGAAGCCAAGCAAAGGAACGAGGTCTATCCACCCTTTTCATTAGAGTCACTGGACTCTAATGAGAGTTTCATTATAGTTTTTTTTTTTTAACATCCTGTTTATTTTTTTTTCACCTGCCCAGTACTCTGAGGTTTATATGCACAATGAAGTTTCCAACTTATTTCCAGAGAGGTTTTGGCTATGAAAGCCAGGTCATTGTCAAATTCCATTAGCTAGGAAGTGCCCAATCAGGGGGCCAGTTCTTGGAGGAGCTTTTAAGATACTATGTGAGCAGTTTTAGTCCAGGTATGGACTGCTTCTACCCAACCAGAAAAGCGGCTAGTTTCTATAAAAACCAGCAAGTACTTTGATTCTTCCCTGACAAGCGGGATCTTGGTGAAGTCAGTTTTCTCAGAGTTTGATAGGGGGTTGGTCTTTCATTCAGACCCTTTTCTTGGAAAGGGCTCTGTGTTTTGGATTTACTTGAGCACAAAACTGGCATCTGGCTGAGATATCCTGAGCTAGGCATCCAGTCTAGGTATAACACACCTTGCTCTGAACACCTGTGTTTTGTGGAACTCAGAGCCTGGTGAAGGTCAGTTACCTGAGTTCTGGCGGGTGTTTCTAGGAGAATTCTCCTTCTCCGCTGGTGCCCTCCATTAACCATTTCGTCTTTACCATGTAGTCTCACACAGAACCAGGTTGGAGTATGCCATCAGAATATTAATAGGCACTACTGGTCTTATGACCATTTGTTGGATAGCCAGTTCATTGACCCCATGGTGGAGATAGTAATGTGTAGGGGAAGCTGAATAGCCCCTAGGAGGGCCAAGATTTTCAGCTTGTTTTTCATATACTTTCCCCCAGTGGTGAGAAGCCCTCTTTCTCTATAGCTCATACTGTGGACATGCACAGTAGTAAAAACATAGCAACTGTCTGTGTATATAATGGTGGACTTTCCTTTCTCCTATGTGAGAGGCTTGGTCAGATTGATCAGTTCTGCTGTCTGGGCTGAGGTACCTGGCTTGGGCCCAGATCGTTTCGGTTATAGTAATGAATGCAGCTCCCATGTACTTGTTTTCATCTTTCATCTCCTTACAGTCATAGAGGAGCACCTGGGGTTGCCACCAGGCAAGAGGGTAGAAGGATAGATGGCGGTGGGTTTCTCAAACTGGACTTGAGTCTGGGCTAGGAGTGGGGCCTGGTATTAGGCCACAGAGGCATTGGACAGCAGCGTTCTGTTGTTCCTTGGAGGAGGGCCTCAATGACAAGGAGTGCTGTGAGAATAAGATCTTGACCCAGAGTTAACTTGTTTGTTTTTCATTAGACTAGCAGTAGCCACTACAGCACTTAGACAGGTGGGTCATCCTGTGGTTATAGAGTCCAATTGTTTGGACCAGTTTCCATAGCTCCAAAGTGGGTTGAAACCTCTTTTGTAATTTTTTTGTTTGTTTTTGTTTAATGGACCAACAGATGAAAAGGTTTTGAGATGTCTAGACGTACTGGGGCTGGAGCCGAAGTCAGAGCTGTTTTTAAAGCCTTAGATGTCTTTTGTTTAGTCTTAGTTCAGGTTAGGGACTCAGTTTCCCCTTTGTGATGGTGTATAGAGATCCTCCTATTTCCACAAACTCTGGTATCCAGAGGCAGGAATACCTCTCTGCACACAGGAGCTCTCAAACCTGTCTTTGTAGTTGGGATCTGAAAGACAGCAACAAACTTGCTTTGAGACAGGTTTCTTTTGCCTCTCCTCAGCTGGTAGCCAAGACAGGCAGCCTCTGATGTACAGAATTGAGCCTTCTTAGCTGAAATTCTGTAGCCCAAGGTCTGTAACTCTTGGAGCAGTCTCAGTGGTTCCTTTTATGATCTGTTTCCCAAGGACCCCTCTGACAGATTGGCAGGAGGTCTGCATTTAGTGTCTTTAAATAACCTGGTTATTGCCTGCTGTAACACCCTTCTGAGTCTGCCCATTGCAAAGCGCCTTTGCCAATGGGAGGCTGAAGAATGCATCTTTCAGGTCTAAGAGTGCAGATCTGTTTCTTTGGAAGAAGCAGACTCATGAGAATCAAAGGTCCCAGTTTTCTTCACAGACAGAAGAGGTTTATTCCAGGGTGACTGGCAGGATACAAAGATGCCTGTCTTTCCAAGACAGACAATATGGACTGTGATTTCCCTTTTTGCTTCCAGGGCCATTGGATATTCCTTAATCTGAGGCAGCTGAAGTGGTTAGTTGGATAATTATAGGAACTTAGTGTTGGGCCAGTTTTGGGGGGTTGGTTCCACTTGTCAGCCTGAGAGATAGTCCAACTCTATCTTTTGACTGGAGGCAGAACTTTCACTAAGGAGATGTTCTGGCAGTGGGTAAGAGATCAAGATTTTGCTGAGTGTCTGTAAGTCTAACTGTGTCTCTTACCAGAAAAGGTGATGGTTTTTAGTTTATGCAAAAGATCTTGTCCCAATCAGTTCTCTATTTTAAACACCTTTTGGGCTACCTTCAGCAACTGGGATGTATTTATATATTTTTTAATGTTTATAATTTTTTTAAATATCTGGGACCAAACAGATAACAGTCTTTAGCTTCAGTCTTTAATCCTTCTATAAAGAACCTAGTGAAAATTATTTAAGGTCTGCTTGGTCAGTGTTAGACAGAAGGGAAAATATGTTCTGTCCAGGATGCATTGCGTGGCAGTGATTCCCCCTACCTGGCCCAGGGTTTGTTTGTTTGTTTTAAGAATATGGTGCATTTTGGGTTTTCCAATTGTATGAATCACCAGTTGAAAAAACGAGACATAAATCATGAAAATGAAGGGGTGGAACTTTCTCTTTTCCTTTGGGCTCACCCCAGCGGAACTTTCCCCATTCTCTAGAGCTGCTCAGATCAGGCACAGAGCAGAGGGGATACTCACCCTGGAAACCATTCCCCCCATTCCTGTGTGCATTCTTCTTAGATGGCAGGCAGCCCTGGATGAGAGGCCCAGCCCTTCCCACCTCCACACAGGGGCCAACACTGAGCAGGAGCCAAGCAAGCAAAGAAACAAGCAAGTACTCTCACTCCTCACCCTGGACAGTGGATGGACAGGAGAAGGCTTTGTGTGTGTGTGTGTGTGTGTGTGTGTGTGTGTGTGTGTGTGTGTGTGTGGTGAGGGGCTCATGGTGTCTATGGGCAACCTGTCAGAGAGAGGAGTGGGCACAGATCTTAAGCCAGGGGCTTCTCACACCAGAGAAATCCATTGGTCATTTCAGGAAAACAGAACTGATAGAATATCACACACATATCTACGGAGGGAGAGAGAGAAAGACAGAGAGAGAGAGAGAGAGAGAAAAGAAGAAGAAGAAGAAAAAGAAGAAGAAGAAGAAGAAGAAGAAGAAGAAGAAGAAGAAGAAGAAGAAGAAGAAGAAGAAGAAGAAGAAGATAACCAGTGGTGGTCAATACACATTCATATGCCTGAACAGACAGGGGGAATCAAGTGAGTCCAATGTTTCCTGGACACTGGATGAGCAGCTGTGTCTGACCTCTCCTATGTGTCAAAACAGAAGGCACCTTAACCAGACTTTCCTCTGGAGGTGACACACAAGGAGACTTTCTAATTTGTTTCATTTTGGAACGAAGATGTCAGACTCCTCAGAAGTGTTAGGCAGTGATTGATGAAAGGGAGTCTCGATCTGAAACTCAGGTTATGTACCCCCTAGGGACTCTTTTCAATTTCAAGAGGCTCTGAGCCCCCCAGTGCCTCAAGGTCTGGTCTCTGGGGAATTTTGGTGGAACCTCCAGAATTGTTGTGGGGTATCCATCAGAAAAGACTGCTCAGATATGGGTTTAAGCCAATAGAAAAAAAATATATTAGCTGGCCGGCAGCTACACTGGATGTTTGCAATCCCAGTGTAGCATTAAGCCTTTCTCAGCATGAACTTTTAAGCACAAAACCACTGTTCTGGTTTGACATACTTCAGTTAACAAGAACATTTTAGCCAGAAGCAGAGCTACAGAAGTCAATTGCCAGGTTAGTACCTTTAGAGTCTTTCCCAGAACTATGCACTTTGACAAATTAGGTCTTTGTTTTCCTTTTTGGCAGGGGTACTAACTATGTGCTGAGTCGATGGGACTCCTCTCATAGAGTCAGCTGTGTGAAGTCTGGAGGCCTACTAAGATCTAGGGTCCTGTTACAGAGGCAGGACATAAGGAAGAGTCAGTGGCCAGGAAAAGATGAGGTTCAGGGACGATCAAGGCTGGGTGATTAAAGGGGTCAGTACGGGTCATGGAATGAAGGGTGGAGAGAGGTGTCAGTAGAGAACCACAGCCAGCTATGGAAAGAGGTGGGGCCACTGATTCAGGAGCATCATGGGATCCAGCAAGGATGTGGACTCACAGGAGAGTAGTGGATCATCAGTGGCCATGCTAAAGCCAGGTCCATCCCAGGGAAGAGTTCTGAGGGACGTCAAACGCTGGGACCCCACATCCCTCACCTGAGATTAATCCATGACAGTTTCTGCATAGTACACATGTACTGCTGGCCTTTACATTCTCTTCCTATGGGGGCTCATGCTGAGTGAGGAGACCAGACCTTCAAAATGTGCGGGTGTAGGGGACCAGGTACATCAGCCACCTCCTAGCCGTGGAAGACAGCCTTCCCCCTATTGTGGCTGTTTTTAGCTGTCATGCTGATTATGTCTGGGATTAAGCCAAGTGGCTTAGTACTCCTGGGAGGCATTTTTGTTGATTTCATCATTTAAGGTGGGAAGACCTACCCTAAACCTAGCTCTTTTGAGGTGGGGAGAATAGAAAGGTGGCAGCCTATATAAAAGACGTAGAAGATGAAAGCGCTTGTTCATTGCCTACTTGTTCTTACTCTCCTGGGCAAGTCCATTCCTTTATTGGCATTAGAGTCTAATGTTTTGAGAGTCTAGTGTATGCGGCAGACCAGCTGAGACATCCAGCTCTGTGGACTGAACAAATATTGAACTCTTGGACTTTCCATCAGAAGATAGTCATTGTTGGAAGTCAGATCATAGACCATAATCCATAAACCACTCTAATAAATCCATTGTATGTGTGTGTACATATATTCTATCAGTCCTGTTTATCTAGAGAACTCTGACTAACACATTTCCCAAATGGCCAGACTTGACAGCTCCAGCATGGTGAGGAACTGTTAGTACCCATGAACTCCTTGCCTGGATCTTAAACTGTAAGATCCATAGTACTGGGAATCTAGGATTTAATCTTTGGCCTTTGCCTTCCTTACACCTCTGTCTTGTCCCAGGAGCAACACTCACCTGAGGAAGAGGAAGCAGATCCCAAGAAGCAGGAATTTGATAGCTGCCTCTCCAATGGCTACCAGAACTACTTCTGCCAGGGGTCCTGCTTTCCCTGAAGAAATATGGATGGAGCTGAACTTACCTGATAATCCCAGAGACCTTCCTCTCACAGTATCACTTAAATATATTCCTCCAAACCTTCCTTCATCCCCACACTTAAGACTGCATCAGCCCAAGCTTCCCTGACTTCCTCATCCTGTTGTCCAACAATATATCAGAAAAAAATCACTTTCTATTATAAATAAACTTCTGTCACAGAGGCTTAGTGGCCATCTGTGATCCTACTACTCAGAAGGATGAAACATTTGGAATGTGGGTTCAAAGCCAGCCTGGGTTACATAGCAAGATTCTGCATCAAAAATCAAAACCAACAACTGTAATTGAAAATATCAAGAACCTACAGAACTTGGGAGCATGTTTACATACTGTGGCAAGCACACACACAAAAAACTCGTTAAAAATTTTATATTTTTATTTGTCTGCATGTATGTATGTGCACACGTGGGGGCCTAGTGCCCTCTGAAGTCAAAAGAAGCTGTCAGATCTCCTAGAACTAGATCCAACCAGTGTGTACCATTGCCATGGAAAACAATCTGAGTCCTCTCAGGCTACATGTGGACAAACCAAAGCTTGGAATTGTGTGTAGTCACTGGTCTGTTCTGAGAAGGGAACTGAATTTCTGTGGACAGCCCTCTGTGTGTGCTCTGCATGTTTGCCCATATGGCTGCGTGTTCTGCACAAGCATTAAGAGCAAAGCTGTTGACAGACTCAAGTGCTGAGGTTTCAGGCAGATCCACAAGTCATGGACTAAAAGTGTCTAGAGTGTGTGATTCTGTTTTGTGAATGCCAATCTAGCCCAGTAATGACTCAGGAGTATGTCCAGAAGCCCAAATGATTGAGGAAGAGGTAGGGACAGGTGCTCTAGAACTTGAATGTTCTGTGAGTGAGGAGGGCCAGTAGTTTCCTAAGAAGGGGTCTTTGTGTTCAGGGTAAGGAGGGATGGACCCTGCTCTGACCTAAAGAGTCCCTGTTCTTCCAACTCACAATGACTCTCCTTACCTGGTCCAGCTCTTGCAGAGACATGGGTTGTGAAGTTCTGTGCGGTATCTTGGAGAGAAACAAAACAAAACTTAACATCTTAGGTTTCAGCAACACTCCCCACAACTGTCCAGAAAGCACAGAATGTGAGAGGATAGGACCTGTATATGACTCAGTCCCTGATCCAGCCATGATCCGTTACACAGCCACCATGCATCCCCAGCCCCTGGGTTGAACTTACAGGTGACAATGATCAGGATAGTCTTTTGAACAGTCACACCAGCTCCAGGAAAAGCCACTTGACAGGTGAGGTTGGTGCCATCGTCCTGGAGCCTAGGTGTGAGGGTCAGCACAGAGGAGAGGGTGGTCCTAGGGCCCAGGGATGTGAGGGCAGATGACATCCAGGAGAAGATGGGGGGTGTCCCCCGCTCACAGGCCCAGGGCACAGAGCACGTCACATTGGTAGGCTGGCCAAGCTTTAGAGTCTGTGGGATGTCGATGTTGGGGATGTGAGTGAGGTCTGGTGAGGGGAGAAAGACATGCAGGATAAGAATGGGGGTGAAGTTCAGCCATTGAGAAGCCCAGGCTCTGACCCAGCTCCTCCATTACCCAGCTCCATCCCCCACCACTCTCAGGCTGGTGTCCCTGTGGCATCTATGAGCTTCCTCTGGGGCCAACATGGAACCAGTACTTTACCTGTCACTTGCACAAAGAGCAGATTTGTATAGTAATTCCATTCCAGACTCTCTTTTTCCAGTGTGAAGAAGTAAGAACCGCTGTCACTCTTCCGTGCATCTCTGATGTCCAGGGAGCAATCACAGACACTCGGGTCTCCCAAGAGGTGGAATCGGTTCTGAGTGTCCTTCTGCACTTGTCGATTTGGGTTATTTGTAGCCACTGGAGAATCATGGTCTGCATTCTTCCCTTCATGGAACCAGTAGCCAAAGACAGGGTGTAAGTCCAGGTTCCTGGAGTACTTAAGAACTATGCAAGGCACGGAGACACACAGACCCTCCTGCACTGTCACAAGTTGCCATTTCAGATGTGCATCTGTGGATTCTCTAGAGGGATGGAGGCAGATTCCAGATACCCAGTCACAGGTCCAGAGCAGGGGCAGCAGTCTGGGGAGCAGCATCCCAACCAGAGGCCTGGGCTGCTGGAAGGGAGTAAAGGGAGGGCTGCAGCCGGCCACCTGGGAGAGCTGGCAGAGAATCAACAGTTTTTAATTCACAGAAGAGGAACTGGGGACTGCAGGCGGCCTATCTGCAGAGAGCACAGAAAACCCAGCAGTCTAACACCAAAGACACCTGAGAGGGGTGGGGGAGGTGGAGGGAGAGGGAAAGGGAGCAGAGAGGAGCAGAGAAGGAGGGCTGGGGAGACACCTCAGTTGTAAACTGCTTGTAAACTGCAGCAGCATGAATACCTAAACTCATGTTCACAGCATGTCTATAAAAATGAGGACGTGACAGTGCCTGTTTTGCAATCCCAGTGCTGGGGAGGGAGAGACAGGAGGATTCCTAGAGCCATTCCACCTGATCCAGTGAGAGACCGTCTCAAAAGATGAGATAAAGGAACTGGCTAAATGCCTCAGTGGTTTAGGGCACATAGTCCTCTTGCAGAGGACCTGGGTTCAGTTCCCAGCACCCATTAACTGGTGGCTCACAGTCATCCTAACCCATTTCTAAGAGATTCGACATGCCCTTCTGACTTGTACCAGGCATGTATACGAGGCACACATATACATGCAGGCAAAACACTCACACACAAAGAGTAAAATGATAAGTATTTAAAACATTTTAACAAGGCAGACAATAGTTGAGGAAAACACCTGGCATCAACCTTTGGCCCTCACACCTACACTTGTGCAAGAACACTGCATGAGTTCACAAACATATGCATACACATATACATAAGAAGGAAGGGAAGGAGGAAGGATGGAGGCAGAGAAAAACGGAGGGCAGGAGGGAGGCAAGGAAGTGGTAGAGAAGGTTAGAGAGAAAGTTCTGAGGGACTGCCCTTCAGCAATGGGGTGGATCTGGATACAGAGGTGAGCCTAAGAGCTTTCTTTAGGAAAGACTTTTCTCACTGGGAAGACCTTAGGAAGATCTCTGATGAACTGAAGCCAGTAACTGCTTGCTCCCTCATTTCTCCAGGAAGCACACAGTGAGCTGTGGGCATTGCAGAGCTAGAAGCAAGAAGGGAAACTTGTGTCTGGTCCTCTCCTGCCACGCAGAAGCCTCAAACTCTCCATACACTGTGCTACTGTCTTCAGAGCTGTTGGCATGGGAGAGTTCTCCACGTGCCATGGGGCATATGAGATACATGTAAAGCATTAGCTGGGAATTATTTCTCTTGTATCTAGTGGACTAATTCTTAGGGTGTCAATGATGGCATCATCAATGTGACACAAAAGAACAAGAGTTCTCAACCAGTGTACTTTAGACAGCTTCCTATGGTTTGATGTGGATGGCAGCCACCTAAGTCCTCACCTTGCAGATCCACATTTCCTTCCAAGCTCAGATCTGTATTTCCCAGTTAGCTGTCCATCAGAAGGCACTGTGTTGTCAGACAGCACAAGAGGATTGTTTAAGAAAAATGCAATTTTTGGCTCAGTTTTAGTGCTTTCCCATGTCATAGAATTTGATGTTACCATTATATTTTTAAAAATTGGATTGGGAGGGAATGAGTGAGGGGGCTATAGCTGGGATACAAAGTAAATAAACTGTAGTTAATAAAAAATAAATTAATTAAAAATAAAAAAGAAAAAACTTATTTTCTAGGTATGATGGTGCACACCTTTAATGCCAGCACTTGGAGGCAGAGGCAGGCAGATCTCTGTGGTTTGAATGAGCCTAGGCCATATGGTGAGTTCCAGACCAGCCAGGGCTACATAATGAGAGACTACCTCAAAACTATTTTTATCAATTCTTTGCAGATTTCATGCAATGTATTTGATTAAATCTATCACCACTTCCCTATCTACTCACCTATGTGTTCCCATTTTAAGTAAAATTCATTAATTCTAGTTTGTGTTAGCCATATTCCCTTTGGTTTGTGAACGTCCATTGGGATGTGGGCAACCTATCAGTAGCCATACTCATTAAAAAAAACTGACTCTGTCTCCCAGAAGTTATCAGTTGCCAAGAACTCTTCAACTATGAGGCAGGATTTTTTTAAAATTTATTTATTTATTTATCTATCTATCTATTTATTTATTTATTTTTATTATTAGTTACATTTTATTAACTCTGTATCCCAGCTGTATCCCACTTCCTCATTCCCTCCCAAAACCTCCCTCCTTCCCTCATCTCCTCCCTGCCCCTTTCCAAGTCCACTGATTGGGGAGGACCTCCTCCCTTTTCATCTGACCCTGTTTTATCAGGTATCTTCAGGACTGGCTGCAAAGTCCTCCTTTGAGGCCTAGCAGGACTGCTCTTCCTTTGGGGGGTGGGGAGGTCAAAGAGCCTGCCTTTGAGTTCCTGTCAGAAATAGTCCCTGTTCCTCTTACTATGGGAAACCAATTGTTACTGAGCTACCACGGGCTTCATCTGAGCAGAGGTTCTCGGTTATATCCATACCTGGTCCTTGGTGGAGTGTCAGTCTCAGAAAAGACCCCTGTGCCCAGATATATTTGGTCCTTGTGGAGCTCCTATCCTTTCCAGGTCATACTAACTCCCCCTTCTTTCATATGATTCCCTGCACTCTGCCGAAGGTTTGGTTATGAGTCTTAGTATCTGCTTTGATACACTGCTAGGTAGAGTCTTTCAGAGGCCCTCTGTGGTAGGCTTCTGTCCTGTTACTTGTTTTCTCCTACATCAAATGTCTATCCCATTTGTCTTTCTAAATGAGGATTAGTCATCTTACCCTGGGTCCTCTTTATTGTTTATCTTCTTTAGGTGTATCGATTTCAGTATATTTATCCTTTCTTAAAGGTCTATATAAGTGAGTATAAGTGGGATACCTATGTAAGTGGGATACCTCACTCAGGATCATCATTTCTAGGTCCCAGCATTTGCCTGCAAATTTCAAGATTTCCTCGTATTTGATTGCTGAGTAGTATTCCATTGTGTAAAAGTACCACAATTTCTGTATCCATTCCTCCATTGATGGACATCTGGGTTGTTTCCAGGTTCTGGCTATTACAAATAAAGCTACTATAAACATGGTTTAGCAAATGTCCTTGTTGTGTACTTGAGCATCTTTTGGATATATGCCTAGGAGTGGTATAGCTAGATCTTGAGGAACCACTATTCCTAATTGTCTGAGAAAGCTCCAGATTGATTTCCAGAGTGGTTGTACAAGTTTGCACTCCCACCAGCAATGGAGGAGGGTTCCCCTTTCTCTACATCCTCTCCGGCATGTGTTGTCACATGAGTTTTTGATCATAGCCATTCTGATGGGTGTAAGGTGAAATCTCAGGGTCGTTTTGATTTGCATTTTCCTGATGGCTAAGAACGTTGAGCATTTCTTTAAGTGTTTTTCTGCCATTCTACAATCCTCTATGGAGAGTTCTCCATTTAACTCTGTTGCACAGGTCTTATACGTACTATCACAATCACCATGGGTTCGTCGGTGCAACTGTCCTGATGTGTACAGAGGACGCTGTTTCCTTTAGTCATCCACTAGCTCTGGGTCTGACATTCTTTCTTCTCTTTCTGCAACTATTCCTGAGCCTTGGGAGGTACAGTGTGGTATGGATAACCTGTGCAGAGCTAAGCGTGATGCATTTTATTCTCTGAAGGTTTCATAAGCAGTTGTCCCTTTGTTGTTGAATAGCATCTTGTTTTCTAAATTTGAAATTATTTCTGTTTGTTTATAAACTGTTTTTATTGAGTTTTTAACATGCTGTGGATACATTTACCTAGATTTTAGATGTTTTCTCATAGTATGTAATGTTTCACCTTCTTTACAGCCTTTTTTTCAGAACATCAAGATACTGTTACCTAATCATAATCATTCTTGTTATAAAGGAAGAGACCAATGACATGCCCAGGAGAAGAAGAAGGAGGAGGAGGAGGAGGAGGAGGAGGAGGAGGAGGAGGAGGAGGAGAAGGAAACCCTGTGAATGGACTTGATAGATGTACCTAAGTGAAGGGTTTTGTCCACTAAGGACTATGCTGCATCACCTAGTTGGCCTTTGGATCCAATCACGTGTTTCTATAAGGGAAAATGTGGTGGTTGATATGGAACTACCATGTATTTAGATGTTAATTGGTTGTCCTTCTACCCCTGAGAGTCTTGCTGTTCTATGAGCAAACCCTCACATATTCAAAATGAATATTTTGAACCTTGCCTTCCAACTTATCCCTGATTGGATAATAAAGTTGCTGACACTGGACTGAGCAGAAGAGAGGGCGCAAAGTGAAGGTTTATGGGCTTGAAGAGAAGCAGAAGTATCACCTGAGAGAGGAGAGGAGAGGAAGCAGAAATGAGCAGGTCACCATGGGTTAGCAGGAAGAAGCATATGGCTGAGAGGCACTTGCTCTGAGGATTGGTGTGATGGAGAGAAGCAGCCCACATGAAAAGCATGAGCAATGATGGATGGGAAGTAGCCCAGCTGGAATGATTGGAACAAATGCCTTGAGGTGTGTGGCTGGGAGGTAACAAGGTAGCTTAGGGGGTTTTCATCTGCCCAGCCCCTAGTTTAAGGTTATTAAAAATCTAACAGGTGTCTGTGTTGTTTATTTTTATAATAGCAGGTTAAACAATAACCACTGTAATATTTGTATGTATTAATAGCCTTCTACAGGAGGAAATGCACAGGGAGATGGGATGATAATTCATTGTTGACACCATGTGACCCAAGAGGCAGAGATAGGAGTGATGAAGAGGGACAAGGATGACAACAGCTTCTACCAAATCGGGGGACAAGGGGTGGATAGTCCTCCTAATCTCTTCAGAGGCAGCCACTCATGTGACATGCTGCTTGGCACCCCAGGAACTTAACTTCGGATTTCTAATCTCCTGAATCACAAGAGAGGAAGCATCTGTTTTCTCAGCCACCTGCTGTGTGTGATTGTGTTTGGGACTATCAGAGGCTCATGAGGAGGAAGCTACTGAGCAGCTATGGGAGACCTCAGATGAGGAAGGGGGCAAACTTCCTCCCAAAAGCTACTCTCTGCTTTCTGGTGTTTAATAACTTTCCTACTTGTTTGTGTTCAGTCTACAAACTGAA